CATGCGAAAGGTGTCCCCTTTTGGTGCCAGCACCACATTGGCGAGCCATTTGGGATATTGGACCTCCCTAATGTGGCCGGCCTCCAAAAGGGTTTTCACCTCCTTCCTCACAAATTCTTTTCTGTCCGTGGACAGATATCTTTTTTTCTGCTTGACCGGGAAGGAGTCCATCTTGATGTTCAACTTATGGCAAATGACTGAGGGATCGACTCCGGGCATATCCTTGGATTCCCATGCAAAGAGAACCGAGTTTTCTCTTAATACTCGGATTATTTCTTCACGGGTATCCTCCTCTAGTCCTAAACCGATCCTTACAACCTTTTCTTGATCCCCTTCCGGGAATAGCACCACTTCCTCCATTTCCACAGCTGGCTTGGGCCTCTCCCGGTCTTCCTCCTTCCTTTCTTTATCTTCCAAAACATGCCCGATGGTTTGGATGTTGAGGTTCTCCTTGTCTATCTTCTTACAGGCGCTTAGATAGGCCTTCTTGGCCGCGGGCTGATCACCAAGGACCCTCCCAACACCTTCGGGAGTCCTAAACTTGAGGCACAGGTGTTCAAGGGATAGTGCACCTCCCAAGTCCTCTAGCCCAGGCCTCCCTAAGATGGCATTGTGAGCGCATTTGATGTCGACCACTACAAAATCCATCCTCATATGCCTCACCTTAGGATGCTCGCCTATGATGATGTCCAATTTAATGGACCCTTCCGGTTCAATTATATCTCCAGTGAAACCGGACAAGGGCATGTTAAGCTTTGTGAGATCTTCCTTCCTGATTCCCAATTGTTGGGCGGCTTCCCAATACAGCACATTGACACTGCTTCCAGTGTCCACCAATATTCTTTTGACAAAAAATTTGTGAATAGCCATATAAATTACCAGGGGGGTCCGATGAGGACTAAGAATGAGTGGTAAATCTTCGTCCGAGAAGACAATGGGCTACATCCTTCCTTTCTTGGCCGCTTGGCCTATGTCAATGGACCCCACATACAGCTTGCGAGCCCATTCCTTCCTCTCCTTGCTTGTGACTCCTGTTTCTGGACCGCCAAAGATGACTCCTACTTGGGGAAATTCTTCCGGGTTCTCCTGGACTTGTTGTTGAGGTTGGGCGTCCCTACGCCAAACATTACCTCCTTGGTTCGG